TGTTGCTGAGGAGAATGTTAACGTACTGAGCAATGAAACAGAAATGTCCTTTTGTTTTTCTCCTTCAGATAACGCCCTGTAATTTTCATACGCGTGTTACGACCCCTCAGTTAAACACGTCCACGTGGCAGCCATTTATGGGCAAAAACTCAAAACGCGCCGTTGCAGCCGTCACGTCTCCTCAAATGCTGAGCCAGCATTTATTGTGGGGAGGCAAAAAGGCGTCTGCTAAAATCAGAAGAATATCAAACGCCCTGAGCAAATCTCCTCTGAGATTTGACACAGTTGTTGAAAAATCCAAAGGTTCAGATCGCGACAAACTGCAATGATCAGCTCGTAACAAAATTGGAACCTAGGCAAATCTCCTCGAAGATTCGCTAGAGTTAAAATCTTGAAAAACCTAAGGGATCAGCTCGCTACAAACTCGCGATCTCCTCACTGATCCGTCAAAAGTCAAAACTTAAAAATCCCGAAAAATCAGCTCGTTGCTAAACTCGAAAAACCTCTGGAAATCAGGTCGCACGGATCATAGATCCACCTCAGATTTGGGCATTGAGCGTTAGATTATAATCAACTCCCTCAGAGCTGCTCTGTATCCCAGAGGCATGTATCGACGTGACAAGTCTGGCCGCGATTTTCTGCCCGTCTAGGGTCAGTGCGTCCAGATCGTTCACTATCTGCTCATCGCAGCTCTGCCGCAGGAAAACCCTCAGGCGAGGTCACTCTTGCGCATCTGCCCGGCCCTTCGGCTAGCATCAAGCTCGATCAGTTGTAAAACCAACTCCTCGCGCCTGCTCAGAATAGGCCCGGCATATCCTGGCACATCTGGTCAGGCGCCATGCTTTCAAGCCAAACAGGCCGTTCATACGTGAGGTCGTTCATGAACTTCCTGGTTTCAGGTCGTCACTCCTGAACTTCCTGGTTTCCAGGTCGTCACTCCTCAGCATCTTGGTTCCAGGTCGTCACTCCTGAACTTCCTGGTTTCAGGTCGTCACTCCTGAACTTCCTGGTTTCAGGTCGTCACTCCTAAACTTCCTGGTTTCAGGTCGTCACCTCAGTTTCCTGGCTCTAGGTCATAATGCCTCGGCTCCGGCCGCTATGACTCTGGTCAGCATTATTCACCTCGGCTCCGGCCATTGTGACACCAAGTCACTAGTTCTACTTCGGCTCCGGCCATAGTGATCCCGAGTCACCTATTTCACTTCAGCTACGGCTATAACACATGACTCTGTGTCATGCATTTTTACCTCAGCTATGGCCCAAAACACATGCACCGAGCTCGCCTGGTTTTAACACCAGCTCCCCCACGCCTGCTCGATAGGAAGCCAGCATACACATGCACAACAGACTTGGCCACGATGGCTTCAGGCCGCCTCGATCGGTCGTGCGTGAGGGCGGACATGAACATAAAACATCACTCCTCATCCTCAGGGTCAAACACCGTGCTAACAAGACTCCCAACCTAGTTCGTCAACCGAACACCGAGGGGGGAGTAATGTTGGGATTAGGCCCAACGCCCTCTTAGGGCCACATGCAGCAGGCCCAACTATGCACCCATAGGCCCAAGAGGAGGAAACATACCCACGTGGGCAGCACCACGTGGGCCAATGAGAGGCTTACATGTGCAGATACATGTCAGCACTTGGGGCTATAAATACCCCCCAACCACCTCCGAGGAAGGTAATTAATCTCTACGCTTCTCTCTCTGCAATTACTCCTTGAGAGCATCTCTCTCTAGAACACTGAGTATTGCTAACTTGAGCGTCGGAGTGTTTTCCCCGAGGAAACAACCTCGGGATTTTCAGGTGTAGAAGCAGCTGAGGACTTCAACAGTGTTGGATTGCGAAGCTGCCGAAACAGAGTGTTAATTTTTTTGCTTGTTAAATTGTATAAGATGCATTTTTGAAAGGCTGGATGAAGTATTAGCAAATTAAGATTAACTAGAGGTACAACAAATTTTAATAAATTAATTATTAGTAAGATGGTGATAAGGGATAGGGGAAGTGAAAAATCAATCCACTTTAATGATACATTTATGAAGAAATGAAGGGAATGGTGTTTGTTTTTCACAGTTTTAGAATTTACTTCTCCAATCCAGCGTTATTCGTCGATCCTTGTCAATTTATATTTTTACTATATCAACCAACTACTCCGATTTCTAACGATAATGGAATCCAACTTTATGAGTTGTTGAGACTATGCGTATATTTAGAGGTTATTCTGTCAATTCTAGTGCTCCCACTATAGACCATTTATGCAGACTACTTGCTCTGAGCAGTTACTTTCAGAAAAACGTTCTCCCATGCAAGATCATGTATCAATTTCACCCTTCGTATCGAGTGACTGTGAACGAACCACTCCCAAAAACTGGGACCACCGAATGTTTTATGTTGTTGATCACAGGCAGCTTTGGTTTTCCTTTCCTCATTGGTTCCCATCAACTGCTCCTATAGATACGGTTCTGATTTTACTCTACTTTTATGGACTTATTTATCTTTAGTTTCTACTCATTATTTATCTATTGATTCTCTACTCTTGCGTTTACTTGATTGGATTGTTCAAAAGCTTGTGCCCATTATCTTATTTTGGTGCCCATCAGCTGTCTGTTGAAATGCCCCATAGATATTTTGAGCCAAGTTTGCACAGAAAAATTCCAGATTAGTTTCCCTTAATCCTTCTGTTACTCTATATACCCTCTCTTTATTTCTTTTTATGACGCCTCATTTGTCTGTCAATTCTAGTGTTCCCACTAGAAACATTAGCGCAGGCCAACAACCCTGAAGGGTTACCCTTGGAAAGAGCTTTCTCCAGTCCAATTATGCAGATTTATGAATTGATTGCTCTCTGTTCCGCCATGTGATTGTGGACCAACAGCTTCAAATTCTGATGAGACCAGGCAGGAAAGAAATAAATGCATCGGAATTGAATTCAATGCGAATGCAGTACTAAAATGGATAGTTTTGTTTGTTATAAAAAATAAAAAATAAAGGTATAAAAAAATATGAATTTTTTAATTTTTT